AAAAGATTTACTCCTGTTCGACTGACAGCAGTACAGAATAGCAGGGGAGACAATTAAGGTTCGAATGAGTCAGCTGATGAGTATATATGCTTAGGAGTTGAGGAAGTTATTATATAAAGCATATCCCCCAACCTATCATGGGACTCCAGAAGCAGAATTATTAGGGAAGAGGAGTGTTCTCTCTAATCAATCTGTTGTAGAAGGGAATTTCGAGGACTTGGTGTATAAGGCTCGCTTGCATGAAGAGGCAAAGTGGAAGGAGACAAACCTTGGGACGGAAGAGAAATCAAGGGGAAAAGAAGCCTCCAAGGAAGCCTAGTGATGACTCTGAAGAGAAATAAAGGGGGCTACAAGTGCCATCGATGTGGCAGTACACAACACTTTATTCGTGACTGTCCATTCGAAGGATGGGGAGCAACAAAAGAAGCTAGCCAGAGGTGCTGAGAGTGAGGATTCTAACAAAATACGGAAATCACATGGCTCAACTCCATGTCAATCTCCAGTCCATACAATACTACAAAGAAGTCAGTTTCTCTCTTTCTCCTACTTGTTAATATTTCATGTGAGACATGCTGTCTGGAACATGATGTGCTCTACTAGCTTCATTTGGCTCCTGAACTGATTCTGTGTCCTCTGGTTGGAGTCTTATTTTGGAAATGGTAGGTTCATTACATGTACTATAATCTTGCTATGTCATAACAACAAGACTATAATGTCCCGACCTATGCCTCCCCTTGCATGATTAATATTGTGTTATGTTTGTGCATATGTCACTTCACGTAATAATGCATTTACGTTTGCTTTTGACTATCTGTATACACATTAATTTTGTTCCCTAATTAAGATTGGTTTAGAACTTGCTCTTTGTGTGTCTTGTGAATTTTAAGATTCAAATTTAAATTTTAAATATTCAATTTTAAAATAAAATTCAATTTTAAATTTACAAGTTGTTTGTCCTAATGTTATGATAAGATCATGTTAACTTGTATTCCTTTTCTTTTGATTAGGAGAGACTGATATAATCTGCCCTGCTAACTGTGATGGCCAGTCATGATCACTGGCCATGATCCAAAGGTACTGTACAGGAGCCAGACAGTGAAACAATTTGAGAGCTGCATGAGGACGGCATCAAATTCATCAGAGAAACCAGCAGACAGCTGCATTATCCATGTGACATCCTCCCATGTGCAATTCGTGTCAGTCAATCCCAGTAAACGTCCAAGAAAAAACGTCCTATCATTATGGATACCAGCTAAGTAATAAATCAGGAGCGAAACCTTTTTCATGGGCTCCTGCATAGCTGTACTATGCATCATACATCCCTTTGCATGTGTACATGTAGTCCTGTTCTTTCAAACAAAATTTGAGAGTTCAAACAAAAGCTGAGAGCTGCCC